TGCCAGATGAAGACATGCAGCAGCACCCAGCACCCAGCACCTAGCAAGCACCCTGCAGTTGCTGAAGGTTGCCGTCGCTTGATGCTATCCCACTCACCGTACGGTAGTCGACCAGAGTTCTCTCTCACAGCCTGAACCCGAAGTCAGTCAGCCCAAAGTAACATGGACAGGGTGCAATTTGAAGCCTGACCGACTGACAGACCGACGCGACCGACGGCGGCGGCTTTCCCACTCCCCCTCCCCCCGAATAGTCCTGGGGCTGGACGCCTGAGACCTGCCTGCGTGCCTCCTGTTGGTCTTTAGGCAATGCGCGTCGCAGTCATCATTCTGTCCTCCCCTTCCGTCTCGTTGAAAGGTCTCCTTCCTTCCGGGTTTTGCTCCGCTGTTCATTGTTTCCGTCCCTCTTCTTCCCTCGTCAGCTCCCTTCCTGCTCTTGCCTTGCCGTGTTGTCTCGCATCATCAGCTCCTCGGGTCGCACAACCATCACAGCCCTGGGGAACTCGTCCAGACATCCTTGCCCGCCCAGGTGTTTCTGGCATCTCTGCTTTGCAGGAGATGCAGGTCGCCCTTGGTCATTACACGCCCATCTAACCAGCCAGGATACGCCCGTTGTCGAGGCCTCGGCTTCTGCAGTGGTCGGGAAGCAGTGACCAGCAGCCTGAAGCCAGCAGTCAGCAGTCAGCAGCCAGCAGCCAGCAGCCAGCATTGAGAGCATTCATCCGCCGCCCCGACGAACCGTCCGCGGACGTCCTGTTGGCCCGTGACCTGCCCTGAGCAAGGCAATATCACTATTGCTTCTGACATACGATTTATAGGTCGAAGATGATCCTTCCGCGTTCACCAGATAGACAGCGCGAGACCTCGAGCCCGACATGGTACTTAGCGTGACAACGATACCACATTCGACACCACCAACACATCAGATCTTTTGATGGCAAGCGCCTCCGGCCGCCTACACCCTTCTGTCTCCCAACCTGCTGCCCAACTACTCCCATCGCCGACGTGGCCGCTAGCCCACCATGCCTTCGGTCATCAAATCCATGACAGCCACCGTCGCCAGACTGCAGCAGATTCAACCAGCAACCATGGCGTCCGATCGCACTTTCGAGAATTACACCCGCCAGCTGACCCTCATCGAAGACTTCATCGCGTCTCTCCGCCAGAAGGGCCTGCACCAAACATTCAAGACAGTCGACTTTAAGCATCTGACCGAGACTAACCGTCTCCCCGGCAAGAATCACGCTCGCGTGGTGGTCAGGGCTCCCATGGGAACACGCCACGTATTCAAGGGATTTGACCTAGAAGCCTTCATCAACCATAAGGATAATTCATTCCACCAACACCAGCGAGACACCATGTTGCACGAGATCCAAACCCTCGCCGCCTTGCCGCTGCATCCCAACATCATGCCCTGCCCCGAGACCCTGGTGACTGTCCTGGACCCTGACGGTGGCGAGCGGGTCTGTGGGTTCCTGCAGCCAGTCATGGAAAGGGAAACATTGGACGACCAGATCACCAACGCTGGTGACGTCCGCATTCCCCTCTTGCGCAAAGCAAAATGGTGCTTCCAGATGGCTCGCGCTGTGCTTCACACCCACCGCATCGCCAGGACGTATCACATGGATGTCAAGCCTGGCAACATCCTCATCGACCAAGAAGACGGCATTCGTCTCATTGATTGGGAGCAGAGCGGTGTCTCCATGTTCACGCACTCCAAGGAAGCCACGATTGACCAAGAAGCGTGGGAAGAACCTCCCTCTCCCAACGACGAGTCAGCTCAGCCCGCCAAACCCAGGATTGTATACAAGCCCCACGTTGGGGCACCGAGAAAGAACTTGTTTTGGGGCTATCCCGAGTGGAATGTCTTTCCCATCTGGAAGAAAACTTGCCCCCGTGCAGCCGAGCTGGCTGAGGTGTTTAGTCTCGGCCGTGTCATGTGGATGCTGATGGAGCAGCTCGAACAGTCACCCAACCCGACCGTCTGGACCGCCAGGTCGGCCGATGTGCCCCAGTATTGGAAGGACGTCATTAATCAGTGCATGGAATTGGACCCGAACGCTCGGCCTGATTTGGATGAGCTTGTTGACTTTTGGAGTGCAGAAGTTGAGAGACTTTCAGGCGCAAAGGGTGCCAGCAACGGCACGAACCACGGCACAGGGATCAGCACGAGTAACAGCATGAACAGTGGCGCAAACAACGGAGTCAGCAAAAGCATCCACAACAGCATCAGCACAGGCACGCGGAATGGCACCAGCAACGGTACAATCCACAACGGAAGCAACGGCGCAGGAAACAACTCGCCTTCGCACGTGTGATTTGCTTTGTCCAGCAATGCATCTATTTACGAAGAGGTGGTGGGTGGCGCGCCTTTCTACTTTCTGACAGCATTATCATGAGAGGGTTTGTCTGGTAGATCAAAATTGCTTCGGGTCGTAGCCAGGGTGTTTCGCCATTGTTAGAATTGTCTTCCGTGAGGTTGCACGAGCATCATCATTTCATTCATAGTCATGGTTCATTTACCCCTGCCCATGCTGTGATTGATGCGCGCCTTGAGACTCCAGAAATAATGCAAATGATAGGCCTTAATTTGAGGAGGAAAATTAGCCGCTGGAACGGGCGGGGTGAATTCTGCCTCTCGACCCTCCGGGGGGTGGGCGGGGAG